GTCAATTCGTGTATTCTGCCTATTCTCCCTTATTGTTTGCCATGATTCTTTCTTGGACTCCTCAAAAAAGACTTTATGAGGGGTTACTAGTGTACCTTTGACTCAGCTAACTGACATTAATGTCAATAGGCACTTCAATTCCCGCAAGCATTTGGTTAAAGTTATCTGGTCCGATACTGAACATCCTCTTTATTCGTAACTTTTGCATTGGTTATCTTCAGGTGAAACCAGAAGAAACTTCATAATAATTTACGCTCGTTTGTACAGCTATTAAATATAGAAACCCTACCATACCATATTCTGTTTATAGTGGTTTCATCATTAATATTATTACTATTACCTCTTTAAATTTTACATATTTACATATTTATAAAAGGAGATAAATTGTTGCAATATGCATAAAAACGCTGAAAATTTCATTCTGTATAAATCTTATTGGTTGGAATAAAGTGATCATTATTATATTATTATTAACTTTATTACCAAAATAACAGTAGACGTAATAATGAAGAAATTCTCCTACCAAATCCAAGTATTGGTTTGTAGGGATTTCATCATGAGCTGACATCAGTTAGAGAACCACTGGAAAACCTGGGAGTACTGTACAGCTGTTTCGTCTTAGCTTGGGACTCTTCACAGTACGCACCCACCGCCAGAGCTCGAACCCTAGACCTTCTGGTTACAAGGCGAGCTCGTATACCATCAGGCCACTGGGACCCGATCCAATGGCCCATGAATTCTAACTTCTGCCAATTCACGATATAGTGCAACCTCTAGCCAATGTCTTCGGCGAGTATTTGTCCTCACACCCGACCTGCTGCACCCTACTGGTCACAACCATAGGTTGCGGATACAGTCTAACATGAGGATACTACAAGAAAAGTGATCACTATTATCTGTTACTTATAAGATATATATGGCTGAATTTGGACAAAGCATACGAATATCAACACCACAAATAACACTGATTCCTATGATCCTGAGTTCTTTGTGGACTGGAATTACCAGATGATATCATAAGCCAAGTTATCAGGTAACTCTTGACTGCTAAACTATATTTCATCTTCAGGCAATAGCTAAATTCAAATATAAGAGATAAAGGTAGACTTTCTAATCTTACCTTTACCATATGTATACGGAAGCAGTTGTATCAAGAATGTAGAATTAAGCAGCGTATACATCGAATTTCTTCATGACTACTACTCAACGCCAATAATTTTCCTGATTACAGTAGATTGGATAATGTGACAAACAGCGGGCAATGAGGAAACAGGCATAAAATGGACACACACAAAATACCTGGAGGATATGGATTTCGCCGATGATAAAAGTCTGATTTCCCACAAACTGGAAGATATACAAGCGAAAAGCAACAAGTTGGCAGAAGAAGCATCAAAGATAGGACTTCAGGTGAACATAGTGAAAACAGAGGTGATGAAGATTCCTGGACAACACCACCAACAGCAACAACAATCAGCATAAATGGAAGGAACCTGAAAGAAACAAACTCCTTCATCTACCTACCTGGGAAGCATCGTTTCAACTACAGGCCAACGGAACTGACGAGGATATCGAAGCAAGAATCGATGGGAAAAGCAAGACAAGCTTCCACTACTCTCAAGTCTGTGTGGAGGTCAACAGCACTCACCATCAAAAATAAGATCTGGATTTTCAACTCCAATGTGAAGTCAGTCAGTGCTACTATACGGGGCAGAGACTTGGCCATCGCGTCGTAAAGAGCATCTCAAACAAACTACAGACCTTCATTAACAGCCAGTTTTCTTCGCTCAGTACTCAAGATCAGATGGCCGGCCAGAAAAGATCAGCAACAGAGATCTCTGGCAATGAGCGAACCAACCTAGCAGGAACCGATTGTGAAACAAACAGGTAGGGAGAAATGGAGATGGATTGGCTGGTCATACTGTGAGGAGACCATCAAGTGACATCACTAGACAAGCCATTGCTCGAGTGGAACCCGAAAGGGAAGCGGCGAGTTGGTCGTCAGTGCAAGGGTGACTTGGAGGAGGTCATGTGAAGAGGAGATGAAAACGTGTGGGCAGACTTGGAGCCAGGTGAAGACTCTAGCAGAGATCCGAACGCAATGGAGACGCACGGCTGAAGCCCTATGTTCCTCTAGGAATTAAAGGAAACAATAATAATAAGACAGATATAGCTGAATTTGGACAAAGCATATGAATATTAACACCACAAATAACACTGATTCCTCTGATCCTGAGTTCTTTGTGGACTGGAATCAACAGATGATATCATAAGCCAAATTATCAGGTAACTCTTGACTGCCAAACTATATTTCATCTTCAGGCAATAGCTAAATTCAAATAAAAGACTTTCTAATCTAACCTTTACTATATGCATACGGAAGCAGTTGTATCAAGAGTGTAGAATTAAACAGTGTATTGATCGAATTTCGTCATGACTACTCAATGAATGACACAATGAAATAAAATCCAACTCCATATTTGCAAACATATAGGATGCTTTATATCAAGTAAACATCAGTAGGTTTCGTCTCTCAACAAGTTGTATTTCAAGTGACACGTGCCTCTTAAGATGTAGCTGGAGTACTATGTTTTACACAAAAACGATTTTTCAAGAGTTGATATATAAGCATTTGATTTATTTTTCAAGTTTACCCACGGAATGATATCAGTTAGAGAATCATTGAAAACCAGGGAGTGTTAGACAGGTGTTTCATCCTAGTTCGTGAGCCACTGAGTTGGGTCCCAGTGGCTGAATGGTATACCACCCTTCCTTGTAACCGGAAAGTCGTGGGTTTGAACTCCGGTGGTGAGTGCGTACTGTGAAGAGTCCCCAAACTAGGACAGCGGAAACAGCTATCCAGTACGGCAGTGCTGGTTTTTCAGTGGTTCTCTAACTAATATCAACCCGTGGTCTAAATCAAATAAAGGAATGTTTTTACTAACACCAAATGTTTCTCGTTAAAATGGTATCTTCTGATCCTTACTACAGCTTGTTATTATTATTTCTTTGTATACATCAGCAAGTCTGACATTTTATTCAGGTAACTAAAAGTGCATGTTTATAAGCGAATTAGAGAAAAACAAAGTTATAGATGATCATTAGAAAAAAAGCAAGTTATTATTTTATGTTTAACCCAGAAAATATAGTAAAAAAGACAAATTAAATGCTGTCGTTTTGAGTCGGTGGTTTAGCGGTAGAGCACTGGCCGACCATGCACGTGGTCCGTGGCTTGAGTGTCGGCCGGTGCGCACCTGGCAAAGAGGGAAGGTTGGGCGAGGGGCTAACAACCCCACCCTGTAAAAGCACTGCTGCTGAAACTTCAAAGCTAAAGCTTGAAGACCTATGTTCCATTGGCAACACAAAGGAATAAAGAAAAATGCGGTTGTATACTACACTCAAATGAAATTTTTTTTCATTATGTACCTATAAAATGAAGCTCAAACAGCAATGCATGACCAGGGTTGCTGTCTCAAAAAGTCTCATTAATTCCGTCATGACTGAAGATATACCCTGTTGGCGAGTACCGACTAGCACAAAATCTAGATCCAAAGGTTCCTGTCAATTACCTCCAACCATGCAAACAACATCTCTTTAGTATTTCAAATCTGAACAGAAAAATTTGCCGCAATACTATATACAGTTTCCAAACTTTCAACTCTTTCATTTATATTTAGATGGAAATATTAAAATAGATATGAACAGACACATAAAAATATGTGCAAATTATAAAACAATCAAGAGGACTTGCAACTGGAATGGATTTTCATGTTGCTGTCGTTGCTTTCTCTGAGTTGAATGGTTTAATTTCAAAGTTTGCATGAAAGATGTTGTTGTCTAGAAGGAAGATTAAAGCCTCTGCTACCAAAATATATAGTTAAGCAGATTTGAGTGAGGACAGGAGTAAGAAAAGGCTTCCTGTTATCGCCAATGATTTTCCTGATTGCAGTAGATTGTATAGTGCGACAAACAGCGGACAATGAGGAAACAGGCATAAAATGGACACACACAAAATACCTGGAGGATATGGATTTCGCCGATGATATATGTCTGATTTCCCATAAACCGGAAGATATGCAAGTGGAAAGCAACAAGTTGGCAGAAGAAGCATCAGAGATAGGACTTCTTTCAGGTGAACATAGAGAAAACAGAGGTGATAAAGATTCCTGGACAACAACAACAACAACAACAGACAACAATCAGCATAAATGGAAGGAACCTGAAAGAAACAAACTCCTTCATCTACCTACCTGGGAAGCATCGTTTCAACTACAGGCCAACGGAACTGACGAGGATATCGAAGCAAGAATCGATGGGAAAAGCAAGACAAGCTTCCACTACTCTCAAGTCTGTGTGGAGATCAACAGCACTCACCATCAAAAATAACATCCGGATTTTCAACTCCAATGTGAAGTCAGTCAGTGCTACTATACGGATCAGAGACTTGGCCAGCGCGTCATAAAGAGCATCTTAAACAAACTACAGACCTTCATTAACAGTTGTCTTCGCTCAGTACTCAAGATCAGATGGCTGGCCAGAAAAGGTCAGCAACAGGGACCTGTGGAAGCAAACCAGCCAGGAACCAATTGTGAAACAAATCTGCAGGAAGAAATGGAGATGGATTGGCCAAACTCTAAGGAAGACATCAAGTGACATCACTAGACAAGCCATTGCTCGAGTGGAACCCGAAAGGGAAGCGGCGAGTTGGTCGTCAGTGCGAGGGTGAGGGTGACTTGGAGGAGGTCATGTGAAGAGGAGATGAAAGCATGTGAGAAGACTTGGAGCCAGGTGAAGACTGTAGCAGAGAACCGAACGCAATGGAGACGCACGGCTGAAGCCCTATGTTCGTCTAGGAATTAAAGGATACAATAATAATAAGCGGATTCAAGAACATCCTAAATGGTAGATTTTATTTCTAACAGCAAAACTTTTCAGGAAATATTCTGTCAGTAATACTAGAAGACAATATTATTATTCTGTTATCAGATTTATTCATTTTTCGTTGAAATAAATCCATTTTCAATGCACAATCAAGTCATGTGAAATTAAAATACGGTAATATGAAAAGACAAAAATGACCAGAATAGTAATTTTGGTTTTACATAATCTAAAAGTGAAAAATAATTGTCATTTGAAGTTAAATATGATTGAAAATATCCTCCCGTTTTTTATAGTGTAAAGCTACAGATTATTTCGTACCAGTTGAATTTGTACCTTTACCTATCACTTCAGTGATCCAGTCTCTAAAGTAGGAAACGCGTGTAAACAATCCTGGATAGAGTTCTGGAGCAGTAGCGTGTGTAGCTGAAGCCACACCTACCACATAATTTTTATCATCTTTTTTGTAGACCAAACCACTTCCACTGTCTCCCTGAAAAGTAAGTGAACAAAGTCATTTTAATATCATATATATATGGATATATGCAAGGAAAGTAATGGCTAAATTTTCTGACATGTTCTTTTACAATTGCACCAAGAACTGCATCATAACGGAGATACTTCGCAGTTCAGATAAGTTTTCTTTCACGTCTACTGTAACAGCTGCATTATCAGTATTACAATTATACCACAATTTCTTCTATAAACATTTATCTCATATGGCATCATACTAAAACAACTAACTTCTGTAAACATAATTAATTAAGTCCACATTTTAAGAAAAAAAATATGTCGGATAGTTGAAGCCAATCGGCAGGAAGCCTGGGACCTAGGTTTTGTGCTAGTTGACACTCGTCAGCAAGGAGTGTCTGCAAACTCAAAAGAACTCATGTCCCCTTTGAAATTCGAACCCGCGTCTCCCAGTGCTGCAGTCAGAGACTTTACCACTGAGCTATTCGGCTCGTGATTGACCTCCTGTAGGACTGTACTGGGTATTTTAATTGGGCACTGACTGTAGCATTGAGTGACGCGGGTGTGAATCTCAAAAGGGACATGAATTCCTTTCAGTTTGCAGACACGCCTTGCTGACGAGTGCCAACTAGCACGAAACCTAGGTCCAATGCTTCCTGCCGATTACCTCCAACTATCCAATATCATCAAATCAATGTGTACCGTGATGGTGAGCTACCTACAGTGGTGGCCACATTGCAAGCCTGACTGGTAGAATTCAGTCTGCACCAAAGAAAGGACCAGACAGGTCGCACTAGTTACTAGTCTCCAATCAAAAGAACAAATATGTCCTCAGTACTACTACTAGTATTTACGCAACAGCTGTAAACAACCAAAAATTTATTACTAAATAACGACTTAATATGTTTCTACTTATGTATCATAGATAGAAAGTGTTAAATCTCAACTCATTTACTATTCCAAAATACGTGGAGGATACATACACACATGCATCTAGTAATTACATGTCCCCGTGAAAATGATGACACTGGATGCTGTAAATAGTTTATCCAAAAACGCTTTACTAAACACTATTTGGTTTCAAAATAATGGAGAACATTTTTAGCTCAAGTGAATACTCCTAAAACTTCTGTTTTCTCAGAGCTCGATATTTTAACTAAGAAGCTTTCTATTGTCCTTCTAGATAATATCTTCAAAAAAGGAACTGAGATTTTACAGTTATTTTTTGAATGAAATGGCTGCTTTTCCTGATTATTTTGACTGTTAGTGGAAACAAAACCCTTAGTTCAGAGAAGAGGTTCTTTTCGACTAATCACTTTCTTTTCAGCTGTATAGTCAAATTTATGTACATTATTTTTCTTATGAAAGAAGGTAATAAGGGAAGTGATGAGTTGTCATAATCGTAGTTGTTAATAGTAGTCACTGTATAAGAGGAAATGAGTCACGTGACTCTAACACACATATTCTAGTTGTGCGTCGGTGGCACAGCGGTTAGGACGCTCGCCGAGCATGCACATGGCCCGGGGTTCGATCCCCGGCCGACGCATTCCTTTACCTCACTAAGCCAGTAATAAAGCTGGTAGGGAGGAAAGGTTGAGCATGAGGCTAGCAACCCCATCCTGTAAAATTAAACACTGCTACAGAAACTTCAAACCTCTAGCTTGAAGCCCTATGTTCCATCGGGAACGTGAAGGAATAAAAAAAATTATGACAGCTCATCACTTCCCTTATTACCCTCTTTCACGAGAAAAAGTTTTATATAAATGCGACTGCACAGCTGAAGAAAAACAGATTCATCGAAAAGGGCCTCTTCGCTGAACTGTGTGTTTTGCTTTCATTAATGGCTGGATAAGGATTATTCATGAACATTTGGACTGTCACTGCTAGTTCACCGAGATTTTATTATGATTTGATATACGTTCATTAGTTTAAACTATCTATTTTTGGTCTGAAATTTGACCTTTCAGTGATCTGTCTTATTCTTTATTGATTGGTAAATCTCTGAGTATTTCTAATCACAGTTGAAATCATAACAAAAAATCTTTATTTCATTAAAGAGCTTCAAAAATCCCTCCATTCTGAACATCAACGTGGATTACCACCTTATTCTCAACACACTCATCATCTTGATGTAATCAACAGCTTTATCATAAATATCGATAACTACCGACGCATAAATTCACTTGTTACAAGATCTCCATAACTACAGCCGTTCACATCAGTCATTTTCATAATAAAATGTCAAATGTTAGGAGGCTTTTTATGTTTGAATTCAACATCCACTATCTTAAGAGAAATTTCATTTCAATTCTATTTTAAAACGCGCTATTTATATAAACCTACCGAACATATACCGACACGACCTTGGTAATAACCAGCACAAAATTCATGATTATCATTTAAACCTGCTGCATGACCATACATTAATGAACAGTCATCATTTGTTAGTGTTGTCAAATGAACTACTTGTGCTTCTGCTGATGGTTTTCCGTGTTTCACTCGGCATCCCCAACCAACAAATATGCATTCAGCATTTTCAGGTGGCCAAGTCAAATAATATTCACTTGGTGGTAATTCAGCCAGTTGAACTCCAGGATCTTCTAAAGGTAAGGGTGCATCTAACTCTAACACTGCAAGATCATACTCCAAATCGTCTGCAATAACAACAATAATATGTGTGGAAAAAATTAGGTTCTCATTGATCATGATGACTAAAATGTTAAAAATTGCTAAAGTTTCCCTATGGAAGAGTTTAGGTTTCTTGAGACAAGTCAGTTAAACATATCAACATATCGAGCTTGCCTTGTAACCAGAGGGTCCTGCGTTCGAACCCCGGTGGGTGCATACTGCTGAAGAGTCCCAAACTAGGATGAAACAGCTGTCCAGTACTCCCAGCTTTTCCAGTGGTTCTCTAACTGATGTCAGCTTATGATGAAATCCTCCATCCAATCAAACTAATTCCCTAGAAAACCCAATACTTGAAAATGTCGAAATATATTTAAGAATCAGACATATAAAGTTTAGCGATTCTCCTTTTAAAATAACCTAAATATGTTTACTTTCTTATTAATAAGCATAGTGAGAAGAAAATTTTATTTAAGGTAAATGTCAAAGATCATTTCAAATTTCAAAGTTTAAATGATAGGCGGCATGATTATTTAACCTGAATATACCAAAGTTATCGTATATATACTCTTCAGTCATCTGAAAGCCTACCTACTAAAACACATACGGGGCAGTTTGTGTATAATGAATCAGACACCCGAATTTTATTCACTAAAAAATTGCAGTATCCTTTGCAATTTTGAAATTCTTATTATTATTATTTCCTTTAATTCCTAGACGAACATAGGGCTTCAGCCGTGCGTCTCCACTGCGTTCGGTTCTCTGCTAGAGTCTTCACCTGGCTCCATGTCTGCCCACATACTTTCATCTCCTCTTCACATGACCTCCTCCAAGTCACCCTCACCCTCGCACTGACGACCAACTCGCCGCTTCCCTTTCGGGTTCCACTCGAGCAATGGCTTGTCTAGTGATGTCACTTGATGTCTTCCTTAGAGTTTGGCCAATCCATCTCCATTTCTTCCTGCAGATTTGTTTCACAATTGGTTCCTGGCTGGTTTGCTTCCACAGGTCCCTATTGTTGATCTTTTCTGGCCACCTGATCTTGAGTACTGAGCGAAGACAACTGTTAATGAAGGTCTGTAGTTTGTTTGAGATTCTCTTTATGACGCGCTGGCCAAGTCTCTGATCCGTATAGTAGCACCGACTGACTTCACATTGGAGTTGAAAATCCAGATCTTATTTTCATTTTCATGCTGAGTGCTGTTGACCTCCACACAGACTTGAGAGTAGTGGAAGCTTGTCTTGCTTTCCCGATCATTGCTTTGATATCCTCGTCAGTTCCGCCTGCAGTTGAAACGATGATTCCTAGGCCGGTAGGTGAAGGAGGTTGTTTCTTTCATGTCCCCCCCCTTTTATCCTGATTGTTGTCTGTTGTTGTTGTTGTTGTTGTCCAGGAATCTTCATCACCTCTGTTTTCTCTATGTTCACCTGAAGTCCTGTCTTGAAAATATGATGAAAATATACCAGGTATGATGAGAACATACCAGGTATTGCTTTGAAAAGTATTAATTCTATGTAAACTCTCAGTAATTTCTGTATAAAGTTTGGCTTTACTTTATCTGCAAATCTTTCGTTTAACCTTCAGATATATCATATTTCAGTTTAAGTAAGCACAAGTTTCAGTGAATAAGTATTTTCAAGAATTAGTTTGTAGGGATTGTATTTGTTTTGGCTTAGACTCCGGATTGATATCAGTAAGAGGAACATTGAAAACCTGCATTGAAGTAGTGGACAGTTGGCAAGTTGCCTAGAATGGTGGCCACATTGCAAACTTGACTGGTAGAATTTAGACTGCATCAAAGAAAGGACTAGACACGTCGCACTAGTTACTAGTGTCCAATCAAACAAGCACCAATCACTAACAATGGGAGAAATTTGAAGGAGGTCACCTTCACTTTTCTAGATAGCATCGTTTCAGCTACAAGCAGCACGGGTGAGGATGTCAAAGCCAACTAGGATTACAAAGGTAAGACAGACTATCATTATTTTGAAGTCAGTGAGAATATCTATTGCAGTCAACATAATGAATGAGATTCGGATTTGCGAAACTAATGTCAAGCTGGTCATTGCTTCCATGTGGTTCAGAGACTTGATGTGTCATTGGAAGCATTTCCAGCGGACTTTAATCAGCAGCTGCCTCCATTCAATACTGCATATCAGACAACTGACCAGAAGTGATTAGCAACAAGGAACTCTGGAAATAAACCAACAAAGAATCTATTATTCAATATGCCGAAGAAAAAATGTAGATGGGTCGGAAGTAGACCAATAATGACATTTCGCGCAAGGTCCTAGAGTAGAAACGACGAGTTAGGTGTCCGACTGTGAGTTAAAAAAGTTTTTGTCAGTAGGAGATGAGAGCTAATGGTTAATCAAAGAGCCAACTAAAGGCAACTACAGAAAACAGGATGAAATGTGGATGTATTGTTGAAGCCCTGTGTTCCACTCAGAACCTACGGGAATACTAACAATAAAAAATTGAAGGCGATGATGAATAAAACTAAGCAATTGTATGTCTGTGTGTTTTTAACTTCTCAGAACAACTCGAAAGTGTTTATTGGTCTAATGTTATGCCTTACACAACCTTTTTCTTAGTCACAATTTAATGAAATAAATATTCATACCCAAAGATAAATAATCATTTTGCATTAGAATACTCAAAACAAAATAACTTTGTATAGTGTCTTTCCATCTGCAACTAATAAAATCACCTGCTTTTCTGATTTGTTTAACTTGCAACTCACATCTAGGTTTGTCATATAGAATCTCTTGCTTACTATTTACATACATTCATTCAACAAAGCACTTACCAGGTCTATATTTTGGATGAAGTATAATTTGTTTCAAATGTGTATGCCAGACAGCCCCTTCTTTTCCTTTTCTACTATGAATAAATTGAAAAATAAAAATTGATTAAAAGTTGGGTTATCCAGTGTTAAGTTCACGGATCAAACGATAAAAGACTATTTTCTTCATAACTTGGAAGTATTTATGATGTTTCTTTTTTGTAAAACATCTGGAAAGGTTAATCCTTACAGATTTATGAACTGAACAATTCTATTTGTAAAATTCTACTTGACTGACTGAGTGAGACTAAGCTTCAACGTAAAACCTTGCAGAAACTTTTAGCGGTTCAAGTTGCCATACTCAATTTACCACACAAACGTACAGAAAAAGAGAAAAAATTCAAAAAAACCACAAGGAATATAAATGAAAGTTAAAACTTCACAGTCCATAAACAGATGGAATTCTCTGACTAACTAAAACCATCCTCCAAAGCTAAATTAGCAACATCTGCTAACATGTCCTATGTCTACTGTTTTTTATCCCCCAAAGAAACCTTAAAATTAAGGAGTTGTTATTTCCTTTTCGAACCAATGCACCAGATCATCTTGTAGTATTTGAATAATTAAAAACTCCAAAGATCTATTGCGAATCGCACTATTTTTTTTCGTGTCTGAATAAAAGTACAACTTTACTGAAAATCTTGTGATCTTCATCATTGATTATCTACGAAGGGAATAAACAAGTTGGTCTGACTAAATGCATCCTACTCGACAAATAACAACTGATCTGATGCAGTAATAATTTATATGTTTCCACTTATTGAACCTAAATATCAACTTGTGTTGTTGAAACTCATTTCTAAGCAATTTCAAGTACTTTAGAACGAAGGTGACATTCTTTGAAATAACTTATTGTTTGAAGCAAAGTTTCCACTAATCAGCATTACGAAGTAATGCTGCAAATTATCCCCGGTAAAAGTCCATATAAGTTTGTTCTAAAGATTAGGCTATTGCTGGAAAGCCACAGTCTCAGCTGGCTTAAGTGAATTAGAATTCTCTAACTTAAAATAATTCAAATATTGGTTTCCAGGGATTTGATTATTATTATCATTATCATTATCATTGTTATTATTATTGTTCCCTTGGGTCTCTAGTGGAACATAGGGCTTCAACTACACGTCTCCACTTGTTTCTGTATTCTGCTGTACTTTTCACCTGCGTCCATGTTAATCCATACTGTTTCAATTCCTCTTCACACGATCTCCTCCATGTCACCCTTGGACGTCCCACTCGCCGCTTCCCTTTCTGGTTCCACTCGAGCTATAACCTGACACGCGATGTCACCCAGCGGCCTCCCCAGCGAGTGTCCAATTCATCTCCACTTTCTCCTGCATATTTGTTGAGCGATTGGTCCTTGTGTTGTTTGTTCCCATAGTTTCTTGTTGGTTCTTGTTCTTTCCGGCCATCTGATCTTCAGTATAGAACGAAGACAGTTGTTGATACAGGTCTGCAACCTGTTGGAAATATTCCTTGTGACCCGCCAAGTTTCTGATCCGTATAGAAGAACTGACTGACTTGACGTTTGTATTGAAAATCCGAATTTTGTTGTTGATGCAGGCTGAGTGACGAAGATTTGCAGACTGGTTTTAAGTTGATGAATGTGTTTTTCGCCTTCCCGATTCTCGATTTGACATCCTCGTCCGTTCCTCCTGTAGTTGAGACAATGCTCCCTAGATAAGTGAATGAAGTAACCTCTTTCAAATCCCTCCCGTTAATGGTGATTGGCACTGGATGTTGCTGCTGCTGTTGTTGTTGTTGGTTGGTTATTTTCATAACCTCCGTCTTGTCTATGTTCACCTGGAGTCCTGTCTTTGCTGCTTCTTCGACCAGTTTGTCTGTTTTCGCTTGTAAGTCTTCGATATTGTGTGACATCAAACATAAATCATCCGCGAAATCCAGTTCTTCTAGGTTCTTCACGTCGGTCCAGGATATCCCTGTCTTCTCGTTTCCCACTGTCTGACACATAATCCTGTCCACCACAATTAGGAATATCATTGGTGATAATAAGCACCCTTGTCTGACTCCTGTGTTTACTCCAAACGCCTCGTTGAGTTTTCCGTTGTGGATCACTTGACATGTGGATTTGATTGGTTTCACTATTTCATCATGAATATTAATCTGATGCTCACTAGTGAATAACCCTATTCAGGTGGGTAGTTACTTCGGTTCTAGTTGGAATTCATGACCAGTGGGGTAAATCATATTGGGTGTCAGAACAAATTCTAGCCGATGACTTTCACTAGAGGTCGTGCCATATCACGAATTGGCAGAAGTTGGAATTCATGAGCCATTTCATCAGGTCTCTGTGGCTTAATGGTCTACGAGCTAGCTCGCCTTTTAAACAGAAGGTACTGGGTTTGAACCGTGGCTTTGGGTGCGTACTGCTTAAGAGTCCCAAACTAGGTTGACGAGACAGATGTCAACTACTCCCAGGTTTTCCAATGGTTCTCTAACCGATGCCACCTCATGGTGAAATCTTAAAAATGAATTCTTGTTGACATCAAAACATATCGTTATGTAAACTGACCTACAAAATCTAAAGGAACCTCACATATTTAACTTTTAAGTTTAATAATGTAAAGAGCACAAGAAGAGTCTTTGCAATGAAATATCAACTGTTGACTCAGTTTCAATTCAGTAAAATCGCATTTGGTGTTGTGAGTGTTTCGATTCATCTTTTTTTTACTCCGAAACATGTAACCTGTAGATTTTTAAGAAATCCTGAAGGCAGAAGTAAGATGCCACTTAACCAAAAGAATAAATATAAGTGTGATGAAAGATACTTTTCGAAAACCAACTTTTCAGAGGACTTAATAATTAGTTAATAGACTTTGTCTGCCCAGAAATATGAATGAAAAATAGAAAAGAACAAAGGGTAATTTTCTAAAACAGCTGCAATATAACTAGTGATCTATACTATGTGAATCCAGTCTAAATAATTGAGGGATATACATTGTTGTACTAAATCCAAATGACTAGTGTGATCAAAGTCCTCCAGGCAATAAAATTTCAAGATTGAAAACACTGTACACAACTATGCTGAACCTTTAGATAATTTATTCATAATTCCAACTTACCAGTAATATATCTACACTAAATAGATCAACCTAATTCCGAAGTATATGGGTTCCAAAAAATTAAATATTCCCTTAGTAAAATTTAGAAGAACACATTTAAGCGAACAATATTGTTTTCATTTAGATCTCATCAGGCTTGACTCTGACATACATAACTTTACAAATAAGTATTCAAATATAAACCAGTCAAGATGTTTTGTCAATTGGATAATAAGATTGTGCATATAAATTGTGCAGTTACTCATAATAATAGTAGTGATAATAATAACAAAGGTTCTATCAATAACAAGAATGGAAACGTGAGGCTATCTGTGACTACAAGAATAACAAAAAACATCATGGTTAAATAAACAAATGTTCAGGTAGAATTGGTCGATATAGGCTAAGAAAAACAAATGGGCCGAATAAGTAATGCTAGATTGTAAGGGAAGTAAATGAAATACGTTTTTAATGAAGATGAGATAAAATTAAGGGATGATAAGAGAGGAGTCGGAAATATAAGTAAGTGGTGGTGGAGACGTCATCAGTTGGTTATGTCGTAATAGGCCGAGGGAGGGATAACGGCTATACGAACTACTTTTGAATGTATAGTTTAGGCTTAATAGTTAGAATTCCTATCGCCTCAGCCATGTGCAGTAGACGAATACGAAGTCCATTGAAAAGATTCTGTAGTATGCGATGAATTACCTTAAATGCTTTCGTTTTCCCCCCTTCATGACCACTGTCAACTGAATGTGACAAAATTGAGCTACGGTTCGTTTTTGTCTGTCCTTTGCCAAATGACGATGGGAGATGTTCAGTAACACATGGGTTTTAGCTTTTTGTAGTACGCCCAACATAACGGTCACCACAGTAGCAGTTGGATTGATAAATGCACATAGATTTGCATTTGGTTTGTATTTGAATATTTATTTGTAAAGTTATGCATATTAAAGTTAAGCCTGACCAGATCTAATTGAAAACAATATTGTTAGCTTAAATGTATGTGGGTTCGTTTAACACATCTATATGTCTACGATTACTAACAATAAGTTTATTGTTTGGAATTGGCTAGGAGTGGAATCCAGGACGCATGTATCATCCAATTCGGGAATAATTAACGGGATGTAACTGTTCCTTATAGGTGGCTCTCGTAGCTCACCAGCTTAGTGGATAACCCTGTGACGTCTGAAGTAATGAATGAAATGGGTTAGAGTATCAGTGGTAACACCATCGTTCACTAAGTATCACGTACATCCAGATGACGAATTTCAAACAGGACGAAACGCACAATTAGGACTTCATTGCTAATTACTATCATACAAACAACTGTCTAATATTAAATAACTTTTATTGCTTTTAAACGTTAAGGTAAAAAATACTCACACTCCATTTTTGATACTATTATATTCAAATCAATAAAATAATAAAACATAAACATCAGTACGGCAGTTAAATGTAAAAGCTAAAGCATTTTGACTTACGAAGAGAAGATATCAATTAGTCTTTTAATCAGAGTAGTAATAAGAGACTGTCGTTCAGTAGCTCCAGGTTTCAAGACATGCCCTTTGTATCCATATTCTTCTCCAAGCTAAGTGAAATGAAACATCCATTACATAAGAATACTTTACACTGTCAAAGGCCTGACAAATTCTAAATAACGTACGTAATCTACCTGCATAGCATAATTCTTGTTTACTTTCATAAAAATCATACTAACTCTAAGTCTAGTGATATACAGTCAAGCATTGCCAGAATTGTCACTTTAAGTTAAGTGATACTGTGCAATTTATACTAGTGATGACTTACACAACAGTCACAAGGTCAAGGTTATCATGGGACATAGTTATTTATTCACAAAGAGTTCCCAAAGAATACCTTGCTTTGAGGTGAGAGATGAACATGCTATATAAAAAGACAGTCAATGGCTTTCGGTTAAATTATTCAATTCAGAAAACACGATGCCGAAAAACATCCACTCTATGATTTGAATTTCAACATCAATCCAATGTTCTTAGGATTTTTAAACTACCAGTGAAGTTGGCCTCATTTACGTCCTCAGATAAATGCAAAAATAAAAAATTTACAACAGTTACTTTATGTATCTGAATATACTATATGCTTGAGTAACTGTACTGAGTAATCAAATGAAAATTTCTGCCGAAAGTAATACAGTTTACATGAAAATCAGTTATCTGTTTCGTTGATACTTTTTCAAGGTGGTAAGCGCCAGTCTACTTGAAGTGGGAAAATAGTAATATTTACTGTTCATAATTAGATTTAGTGGAGTGATTTATTCAAATATAAGTTATTTTGTATATCAATGCCTTTGTTAATCGACAGGTCACATGTTTCATATCATTAGGATTTTAGAAATTGCCTGAATGACTGATTAATGATTTATGCACAAGAGTTTCTGAACACCCGCTGTATTACAATGTATGATCTGCGCACAATTCAAATTTAGACTGTAGGCGTTAAGTAAACCTTCAATCATCACTTCCTAATGTTAAAGCATTCATAGGACTTCAGGTGAACATAGAGAAAGCAGAGGTGATGAAGATTCCTGGACAAGAACAACAACAACAGACAACGATCAGCATAAATGGGAGGAACCTGAAAGAAACAACCTCCTTCACCCACCTGGGAAGCATCGTTTCAACTACAGCCGAACGGAACTGACGAGGATATCAAAGCAAGAATCGGAAAAGCAAGACAAGTTTTCACTACTCTCAAGTCTGTGTGGAGGTCAACAGCACTCAGCATGAAAATTAAGATCCGCATTTTCATTTCCAATGTGAAGTCAGTGCTACTATACGGATCAGGGACTTGGTCAATCACAAAGGGCACTTCAAACAAACTACAGACTTTCATCAACAGCTGTCTTCGCTCAGTACTCAAGATCAGATGGCCGGCCAGAGAAGATCAGCAACAGGGATGGATCTCTGGGAGCAAACCAACCAGGAACCGATTGTGAAACAAATAGGTAGGAAGAAATGGAGATGGACTGGTCATACTCTAAGGAAGGCATCACTAGACTAGCCCTCGAGTGGAACCCGAAAGGGAAGCGGCGAGTTGGTCGTCAGTGCAAGGGTGAGGGTGACTTGGAGGAGGTGATGTGAAGAGGAGATGAAAACGTGTGGGCAGACTTGGAGCTAGGTGAAAACTTTAGCAGAGAACCGAACGCAATGGAGACATCTGGCTGAAGCCCTATGTTCCTCTAGGAATTAAAGAAAATAATAATAATCATTTAATCCTTTGATTGGGCACTAGTTAGTGACTAGTTTAATGTGTCTATTCCTTTGTTTGGTGCAGTCTGGATTCTATCAGTCAAGTTTGCAATGTAGCCACTATGTTAATTGGCTCTCCATCACGGTGCACGTTGGATTGTTGATATTAGAAGGCTGGAGACAGTAGGCAGGAAGCCTTTGACCTAGGTTTCAAAGTATCTAATAGAAACCTACAGGAGGTCAATTGCGAGCCTGAATAGATCAGTGGTAATGTCTCTGACTGCAGCACTGGGTGACACGGATTCGAATCTCAGAAGGGACATGAGTACCTTCAAGGTTATAGATAGGCCTTGCTGACTGGTGAGTGCCAACTTGGACAAAACCTAGGTGGAACGCTTCCTGCCAGTTGCCTCCAACCACATAATATCAACAATCATTTAATCCCTATATGAAATAAATGTCTATTCACTACACATATTTATCAAAGAATTGGAATAACTTTTGATACCTTTAGTATCCTCATAATTTATAAATTCCAAGTACAGCAGATATGCTCAAATTAATTTTCATCAAACTAATTCCTGATAGGAAAAAACCAGTTGGGAATCGACTCACTTCAACAGAGTCTACTAAATGGTGTCCCAAATAACGTCTTAAAGAAAATCTAAATAACTTTTTACGTCTCAGACATCTTTCGGTATTAATTGCTGAAAGTCTCAGAAAATGAAGGCAATTTACTTCTATGTCTTAACTACGATGTAAGGACACCAAAATGAAAAAATCCAGAATATATCAAATAAACATTTTAATATAATACTTGTGTAAAGTTGTATTTATTTTAATCCGAAATAGTATGAGTATTACTTACTTCAATTATATTGCTTCCAGCTTGAACATGCCAGTTACTCGGCTCCATTAAACTGAAATAAGAATGCTTGTTTCAAGTTCAACAATAGCGAATAATAATTTTCTTTAAATATAATGCTAACGTTCAATTCTATATATTTGCTTAATTTCTTATTAAAAAATAATGCAGTCAGAAGATTAGTCTGGTAAGGAAATAAAATGCTGTGATTACCAATTTCTTTAATAAGTTGTCTATGTATGAATAAAAACTACCTATATTTTGGCAAAGTGAGAATAGGATCAAACTTCAAAGACTGATCCATCACTACGACATTTTCTAATAACCCCCTTTATCTCAAAAGCCAACAAATATGTTAATATATGTGTAAAGCCTGGATACCATAGAACTAGCGGTATGTTTATTTATTATTCATTATTATTATTTTATTCCTTTACGTCCCCAGTGGAACATAGGGCTTCAGGCTAGAACTTTTAAGTTTCGGTAGCAGTGGTGTTTATTTTTACCGGATGGGGTTGCTGGTCTCATGCCCAGCTTTCCTTCTTTACCAGTCTTATTAGTGACTTAGCGAGGTTTAGGAGTACACCGACCTGAGATCGAACCCCGAACCAGATTCGTGGTTAGTAAGCATTCTACCTCTGTGCCACCTATATGTAATTTCTTATTAACTTGTCTGTTTGATAAATCACACAGTAAAATAATATTGTTCACTGTCCAGGAGAAACATAAGGTTGATCAGATCAAATGCTCTGGAATAAGAACAACCGACATATGTTATTCTTGTAGGTCTCATACTAAGTGTAAATTTTATTAATTCTTAGATATTTAGAGTATACTGAAGAAATTAGTCGAACTCTAAGAATTGAAGTCGCACTACCTCGAACTTACATTTCAAGAATTATCGCTGAACTCCCAAAGTCACAACTTACCCTTTTGAAGACTATTTACTATGAGATAATGAATAAAGTAACTCTGATTTCGTAAATGCTCAATTTAACAAGATAAATAGTGAATGCGAAGAACAGCGTATATTATTTAAACTTCAAAAGTTAGTGACAAAACACAGAAACCTTACTTTAAAGCCTCACTATATAAATAATACTGTTGTTTACCATTGTAGCATTCCTTTCTGTTCTTTTACTACAAATGCATCCACTCAGCGTTTTAAATTTCTCTAAAATGTTGCTTGCCACGTATCTCAGATCACTCACCGGTTAACTTCGAAATTCTAGAGAATTACAATGTCAAGCTATATGCCACTCATACAAATGCCTACAAATAACTTTCAAATTAAGCGCTTATAAACGCCAAACAGTCACGCCTATAATACATTCACAAAATATGTGGCTCAGAACTTTAGTTTAATCATAAACTAATACCAAACATCTGAATTTATTGGGCAACATCTTTTCGAAGAGAATTTACACAGCTGCGCAATAAAACCTTCTCATCGGCGATTCTCTTTCATTCCCCCTTATTAGCACATAATCGCCTTTAAGAGACATGTGATATGCAGTGATGCAATAAATAAATAATGCTGCGTCACTACGTTAATCATTTTTATACTCTACCTCTAATAAAATATTATCTCACGTAAGATTAAATCATGGTTTTTTCTTACTGTGATTTTGTCCATGATCCTGCCCAAAAACAATGAGCAGCAGTTATTAGCCAACGGTCACCAATCAGTGTTGAACCGCAATATGTTACTTGTTTATAGACTGGATTTGTGCCTTTTATCGATACTGCCCATGGATAGGCATATTTCTCAGCTTTTTGACCATTGATTACACGTTTCTGTATCTTTAACTGGTTAACAAAACTATAAACTAAAAACAAACAGCACAATATTTGAAAAATGGGAATTATAGGAAACTAAAATATTTGGCCGCCGTGTGAGAAGTAGACATTTGTAAAACATCATATTTGTAAAATCTGAGCGAGATTGAAATGAGTAATTCCAACGTTTCGTTCGGCAATCTGGTCCGAACTTCTTCAGGGAAATTAATCGAAATTAACATAACAAAGGTTTATATATAAAAGGAAGATCACTTGTTTTTAAAAACTTTGTCCAATCATGAGTCATTCAACAAGTATAATAACTCTAACTGATATCAGTCCGTGATCAACTCGTAAAACATAACTAATCCTTACAAACCAAAAACTATAGAAAAGTATAATAAACAAAATTTTATGAGCTGTGATCAAAATTTGACCCTGGACTTACAAATATTGGTTTACCTTTGTTAAACACTTTAAACAGAGTGTGTATGTGTGTGTGGGTAAACAGTTGTAAAACATTTCTTAACGTTTCCATAAGAGGATATGGACAGTCGAGAATTTTGACCAAGTATTAATAATTAGTGATACATATCCATTTTTATTTATTAATAAGGATTTCCTATGCATCAGCTAACATCACACCTTCATGTCTGTTCAAACTGTTAGTATCTAGAATTTTATGATTAGACGTATTTTCAAAATTATGGTGTTTAGGACTGGAGTTTAGTAGAAGCACCCTGTCGGACTTATTGCTTTGCCTTCTTTCTGAAGATTGAGCTGCTTTATTCGACCTACTGGAGTTGTCAGGTGACTCGACAGCTACGGATTTAGGATATGCATTGTGTTGCAGACAACGGAGAGTGAAAACACGATGACTGTTCCAATTACACAGTTTCTTTGTTAATTTAATTCGATTGCAAAATAATTCAAATGAACTGTCGTCAAGATTTGACAGAATAGTTCTAAAATATTTGGGCGCCGAGTGAGAAGTAGACATTTGTAAAAAATTATATTTGTAAAATCTCAGAGAGATTGATTCCTACAAAAGTAGACTAATATATGTAAGTCCGGGTCAAATTTTGATCACAGCTCATAAAATTTTGTTTATTATACTTGTTGAATGACTCATGATTGGACAAAGTTTTTAAAAACAAGTGATCTTCCTTTTATATATAAACCTTTGTTATGTTAATTTCGATTAATTTCCCTGAAGAAGTTCGGACCAGATTGCCGAACGAAACGTTGGAATTACTCATTTCAATCTCGCTCAGATTTAACAAATATAATTTTTTACAAAAGTATAGGAAACTAGGTTTGAAAATCGTTTGGAAAACTTCACTGTTTTCAGTTAGAAAACCTGGTAAATAAAATTTTATATAAATTTACTTAGTTGCTACCCTTTTCCCAGTCTTAAATATAACTCAAAAGATGAATGTCCTAATGTTTCGCGTTGTCACAATTTCTACTGTTTGACAAAAGCATCAACTAGGCTGTACATTCGTGTATATTTATATATACTGAAGGCGTCTCTAGACGACTTCTTTGCGGAAAAAAATCTTCTTCATTGCAATCGCCTTTTCAAATTCTTCCTATGAGCTAATGTATATATTCAGCAGTTTCTTCTGTTCAAAATAGTAGTACATGAATTTCAGGTGAACTGATATATCAACACAAATTCCATCAAAAGCTGTTCAGCGTTACATCATTTTGTTTGAAAAAGTGGAAAGTATAGTTTGCATACAATATAATCTTGTGTTTTCGCTCGTGAAATTAATTACTATACTCGGAGTTAAAAAGAATATGTTCACTGAGATTTCAAGGCAAAATGTGCTCTGCTTTTTAATGTAGTTTTACTGTCTACCTAAATTTGACTAATTTAAGTAATAATGAAGGTAAAATACTGATGAAAAACTGTAAATTTATGGAAAAACACTAACAGTTTTTCAGAACAGATTTCTAACAAAATATAAACATAACTATCCAGTTAAAGTATTTTTTCGGAATGAAGGATTGTAGCAGATTATAATGCAATGAATCAACATTCTTGAATAATCAAAATCAAAATCACAGTGAACTTACCCAAAGTTATTTTATAAATGAATAAAATCCACACAATAGTGAATTTCATTCTGAATACACTGAATCCAGTTGTAGTGTAGATCACACTTTGTGAAGGCGTTTAAATATATAAACAAAACGTGATAAATGAAAAACACTCGTTTGTAAATCATTTTTGGTGAGGAAAAATTAGCACACTTCTCTCTCTCTTCTTATCCATTGTAAATATTTGTTGACTTAAAATAAGCATTTTGGGGTGAATTTATCATTTCAGTGAATAGTGTTTTTACACACAATTAGGTGTACAGACAGTGAAATGATTCTTTTTGAAATACGATCAAATAAACAATCTGAGAAAGGCTAAAAACACTTTTTTTTTTCTCCGAACCAATTCTAATCATGATTATATTATGATTAGCCTTGTGTTTCTAAAAGTTGTGTGTTGCAAAACATTGTAAATAAGTTATTTTAGACACATCTGTGGATAGGATGGATTTTCTCTCAAAATCATCAGTTAAAGGTGTTCAAGTATTGTGTAGACTAGAGAAGTGAAATATACACCTAAGATAATTGAAAATGTAACAATTTTAAATTAGGCAGATTTTTTCTCCCATGAATTTATGATTAAAAATGAATCTTCATTTATTAACTTTTAGTGAATTGATCTCTATAGATTCAGTGAATGTTACTCTATGCCGTTCATCACAATTACAACATAAGGTACAATATTTCCTTTAATAGTTGCAAGTCTAATCTTTTCAGCACCTAGATATTTGAAGTTCAAATGAATATCTGGATAGTGGGAGGATTAGACTTAAAGGTCTAATACCAGCTTATTTACTACACCAAACAACTAACCATGTCATCATCTCAGTGCAGTCACCACGGGTGATAACCAGCTATCATGTGAATGAATAATATGTTACTGTCCACTTATCATCAACCACACTGTTCAGATAGTTATTCTCCTTAAGCCATCTGATATCGTCTCATGACCAACTAAAAACCTGCAACTTTTCTACTAATTCAGTATTAGTAGGAATGACAGGAAAAGATCAAACTGTACAGTTAGTGTGGTGGCAAGCAGACAGCAGCATATCAATCATTTGCATGACAGCTGGTCATTATCGATCATGACTACAATGAAATAATGACCTGGTTAGCAGTTGGGTCTCGTAGATCAGCTGGTATGACACCGTATAAATAATTCGGTGATCTCTGGTTCTAAACCCTCCGCGACCCACATTTTAATTTTACTTTCAATCACCGCCAATTACATCAATGATATTCAATTGTCGGTTTGCAGGGATTTGATTGGTTAGTGGTTTGGTCACGAAATGATATCATTGGAGGGGATCATTGGACTGTGGGTCAACACTACTGAAGAGACGTAAGTTAAGACGAAACAGATGTCCACTATTCCCTAGTTTTCTATCTGAAATGAGCTCACTACCAAACAACAGTGATAGTCTATCAACCTCTGATAGTCTAATTATCAGTTCGGATATTCAATGATGCGTTATGTGCTACTGAAGAGGTTTTCTCAATATTAACATGCAGAAATAAAACAAGTGAGTTTGTAATAGTACAATGCTTTGTAATACTCTTCAGTGTGTTTTTTTTTCCTTCACGTTCCCCAGTGGAACAAAGGGCTTAAAGCTAGTGACTTGGCGTTTCTGTAGCAGTGTTTATTTTACAGGACGGGGTTGCTAGCCTCATACCCAACCTTCCCTCTTCACCAGCACTATTCCTGGCTTAGCGAAGTAAAGGAGTGCGTCGGTCGGGGATCGAACCCCGGACCATGTGCATGGTCGGCGAGCGTCCTAACCACTATGCCACCGATGCACTGAAGTGCGCGTTCGAGGCCGGTGATCAAACCCCGTACTACGTGAGGTGTGGTCGGCGAGCACTCTACCACTGTGCCACCGAAGCCAGTGTGTAAATATCCATAATGCTAACGGAGAAGTGTATTTATAGTGCTGTATTTTCTGTAAGCTGAAAGTTCATGCCAGAGAAATAATTCATTATTATTGGAATACATGTGACTATAATAATAGTAATAATAATAACTGAAATGCTTCATGAACAAAATCCGAAGAGATCAATGTTTAATTAAATCAAATCGTTAAACTAAAGCTGAAATACTGAATCGATTAACTAACAAGTTTTGAAAACAAAGACAAAACTCTAAATTTAAACTTTACTCCCATGTAGTCATTATTTCAAACCAGCTACAAGTATATTTTGCTGTTACGGTACTGTTTATAGGATTGTACAAGTATCATGAAGTGTTAAATAACGCTTAGACATTGATTAGTTCTTCTGCTAAGGTGTAATGGATTTCTTTCTTCGAAGTTAAAATTAGTTCATATTTTAAATAATGACATTCATTTCAAGTTAGACCGCGGATTAATACCAGTTAGAGAACCATTGAAAACAAGCACTGGAGTACTGGACAGCTGTCTCGTCAACCTAGTTCGGGACTCATCAGCAGTAGGCATTCATCACAGGGGTTCGAACCCACCGCCTTCTGGTTACAAGACAAGCTCGTATACCATTCATCATATAAGGATATTGTTGTGTGCTAAGTGAGATGAATCTTTTGTTAGGACAGATTATAAAGGTATATACGTTAAATATAATGCAGCTTTACGGTCAAATGGAGTGCAGCAGACTTCCACACCGATTTCAGAGTGATGAATGTCTACCTTCTATTTCCAATACTGGCATCATTTGTCGATCTCATCCGTACTGTCTGCAGTTAAAATGTTTCTGCGAATGCAAGTAGTACTATGTAATTTCATGTTACTTTGTTCACTAGAAAGGCTACATTATTACTTGCAAGACGATGTTTCGAACACAATTTATTGTCCATAATCATATTAAGTGGATCTCCTTTTTTCATTCATCGTGGAGAGAATGGGAATTTTCTAGACATCTGGTGGCATTCTCAAGTGATTTAATCAACAGACCTACTGTTATCATCTGTTTTCACTGCTATATTATATTTTTTTAAAGTATCACTTTTTCCCATCTTACTGTATTATTACTGCATGCAGAGCTGTACCTGTGAACTTCTGTAGATTTATTATCATAGCAGGGACAACTGTCGTGCCCGTCTATTAACTCTAACCAAAAATTTCTAAGACTGATTCATGTACTTGTGTTAGACTTTTACAGAAATTGGTTTTGTGTATGCTTAGAGAATATTCGCAATTGAGTAATTCAGCATTGTTTCTTGATTGCTTTGAGCACTCTTCATTCTGATTGGCGTACTTTAAAATTTCAACTTTGTTATTAATGCAACTTCCCAAAACTTAGCTATATATATATATATATATATATATATATATATATAACTATTATACCAGTACGTTAATATAGAAAAGTACATCTGACAAGCAAACGGACCATGTGCAAACATTCGTGAGAAGATAATAAAGGCAACAGATACATTAACCCAACTCATCCCTTAACTTTAGACATTATAAACAAGTGATATACAGCATTACAAGAAGTCCTACTGCTAAAACTTATTGACTTAATGAGGCTTTATTTAATCTGTTTTTCATGATTCCTTCGTATAAAGTAAGCTTAATTTCCTTCACAAAAAATATTAACACTATATAGCGTGTAAGCTAGTTTACCAAGGCATAAAATGTAACCTTGACACATTTAGATTCTTAAAAATCTTAGTCGATCTCACCACCATATCACTAATTATATGACTACAAGACGTACTTAGTTGGCCGTAAACTTCAGACATTTATTATTATCATTATTATTATTATTATTTAAAAATAAATACACAACACAGGAATCATTTTAAAATGTTTGTGTTTGACCTTTTTAGGTATGTTTATTAGTTGTTTACAGATGTATTCTAAAAAATTGAGGGCGGGGGTTTCCGCCATACACCAGATTTCTTATTGTGCAACATATTTTCAGGTGTTTAATTATGGTATTTGTAAGACAAGAAACTAAACTTTTTCAGTTATCTTTTGTAAAAAAAAAATCATACATTCATAACTTAATAAAAGTTTATACCCAAGTTACAGAGAAATTTTTATTGTTTCTAGCAAAACTACTTCTAGCTCTAAACATCATCACTGTAGCCAACTAAAAAGAATGCTGTTACAGCATTCTAAGTCTATCTTCAATCTAAACTGTGTTCTTTAAACAAAAGTGCAGAAAATAGATCATCTGAACAACAGTAATGGAGAGCAGTAATATGCCTAATATACAACACAGTTTCTACAGACGAAGATGTATCATGTAAAGAAGTGCTGTACTCTCTGTTTAACTAGAATCCACTTAATCGTTTTCTTGAGAGTAGTTCTTCTGAAAGAAGAAGGGTGAATTTTAGTAATAAGAACTCCGATAAACAACTTCTAAAGGCTCCATTTAGAGGATCGTATATTTAAATTAAAGTCATCTACTTGGAATGAAAGCTTCGAAACATCTTGTTTAGTTCATTTCACCTTTAATTTTTCACTTAAATCCTAAATTAGTAAAGCAAGTGAAATTATAGGTTGAAAAATTCTCAGGTAACAACTGAATTATATTATTAAAATCCCCTAAGGTTCCGAGTGGGAAATAGGACTTTAAAAACACATCTCATATTTCTTCTGTTTTCTCCTCTCCTCTTCAGCTGGGTTCACGATTAACCCTAATCACTAATCTCCTCCTCCTCCAACTCACACGATCTCCTCCATATCACCCCCGCACTAACGACACAATCGTCGCTTCCCATTGGGATTCTACCAGAGAGATTGCCTGCATTGCATGCGATTTCATCCTACGGCCTCTTCAACGTATCCCAATTCATCTCCAATTTTGTATAGATATTTGTTGAGTAGTCGGCTCTTGGTTGGTTTGTTCATCGCCAGAGTTACTTGTCACTTATTGTTTCTGGCCGGTTGTTCGATCTTCAGTATGGAGCCAGCAACGTCAGCTGTAGATAATATTCTGTAGTGGCCTGTTGAAAATGCTTTTCGGGACACACTGGCCAAGTTTCTGACGCGTATAGAAGTAGTGACTGACTTCACATTTGTGTTGAAAATCCCACTCTTGTTCTTCATGCTGGCTGAGTACAGAAGATTTCCAAACTGGTTTCAGGTTGACCAAGGCAT